CTGAATTGAAATTTCGTCCAATAATTGTTCGAGATATGGGAGACAACCAGTTTGAAAATCGACGTGAAGTCTTGAAGAATATATGATTTAAAGAAGTACAGTGTATATGTACAAATCGCGAAAAATTCAATCTGAATTCAAGTCACTTTTTAATTGAACATGAATAAAGCACTCTTTGTGGAGACGATCAATCAAGAACTAAGTTGCATTGAATTCAAATTGCGCCCTATAATTGATCGTGATGTACGACACATTAGTTAAAAAAATCAACAAAAACCGTTGCAGATAAAAATGAACACAACAAAAACAAAAACTACAGTGTGTAAGGGCACTCCCGTACATTTTACCAACATCAATTTCTTCCAATAGAGGGCGCGCTACACAAATAGTGGTCACCACCAAGCAGCGCGGATCACGATCTGCCCAAACGAAGTCGGCATTAAGTGAACAAAATAAACTACAGTTTGTGGAGATGATAACTCAAGAAAAACACATTGCACTGAATTGATATTTCGTCCAATAATTGTTCGAGATATGGGACACAACCAGTTTGAAAATCGACGAGAACACTTGAAGAATAAATTTATTATGACTTAAAGAAATACAGTGTACAAATCGCGAAAATTCAATCTGAATTCAAGTCAATTTTTTTTTTTTAACATGAATAAGGCACTCTTTGTGAAGACGATATATCAAGAAAACGAAATTGCATTGAATTCAAATTGCGTCCTATAATTGATCGTGATGTACGACACAATAGTTTTCAAAATCAACAAAACCGTTGCAGATAAAAATGAACACAACAAAAACAAAAACTACAGTGTGTAAGGGCACTCCCGTACATTTTACCAACATCAATTTCGTCCAATAGAGGGCGCGCTACACAAATAGTGGTCACCACCGTCAAGCAACGCGGATCACGATCTGCCCAAACGAAGTCGGCATTAAGTGAACAAAAATAGCACACAGTTTGTGGAGATGATAACTCAAGAAAAACACATTGCACTGAATTGAAATTTCGTCCAGTAATTTTTCGAGATATGGGACACAACCAGTTTGAAAATCGACGAGAACACTTGAAGAATAAATTTAATATGATTTAAAGAAAACCAGTGTATAAATCGCGAAAAATTCAATCTGAATTCAAGTCACTTTTTAATTGAACATGAATAAAGCACTCTTTGTGGAGACGATAAATCAAGAAAACCAAATTGCATTGAATTAATATTGCGTCCAATAATTGGTCAAGATATGGGCCATGAAATGTTTGAAAAATCAACAAAAACCGTTGAAGAAAAAAATGAACACAACAAAAACAAAAACTACAGTGTGTAAGGTCACTCCCGTACATTTTACCAACATCAATTTCTTCCAATAGAGGGCGCGCTACACAAATAGTGGTCACCACCATAAAGCAACGCGGATCACGATCTGCCCAAACGAAGTCGGCATTAAGTGAACAAAAATAGCACACAGTTTGTGGAGATAACTCAAGAAAAACACATTGCACTGAATTGAAATTTCGTCCAATAATTGTTCGAGATATGGGGCACAACCAGTTTGAAAATCGACGAGAACACTTGAAGAATAAATTTAATATGATTTAAAGAAAACCAGTGTACATATCGCGAAAAATTCAATCTGAATTCAAGTCACTTTTTAATTGAACTCGAATAAGGCACTCTTTGTGGAGACGATAAATCAAGAAAAACACATTGCACTGAATTGAAATTTCGTCCAATAATTGTTCGAGATATGGGACACATCCAGTTTGAAAATCGACGAGAACACTTGAACAATAAATGTAATATGATTTAAAGAAATACAGTGTACAAATCGCGAAAAATTCAATCTGAATTCAAGTCACTTTTTAATTGAACATGAATAAAGCACTCTTTGTGGAGATGATAAATCAAGAAAACCAAATTGCATTGAATTCAAATTGCGTCCTATAATTGACCGTTGAAGAAAAAAATGAACACACCAAAATCAAAAACTTCAGTGTGTAAGGGTGCAGACCAGTAAATCGGTCCGAAATTGCCTGCGCCGGCCAAATCACGATTTGCATGCCCTCAAAATCTTCGGTATTTGAGCATGCTGTGGGCCATGAACTTGAGGGATTGTAAAAAATATGGGTGGAAACCGTGCACAGGACTGGGAGCTTGCAGTTCTGTGTAATTTTGATGTAATTTGGACCCTAAAAGCGCTCTATTTTGCAATGGAGTGTAGGCATCGTTTTTCAAAATGGCGATTGGCTTCAGGACTATTTTCAGGGGTGATCATCTTCAGATGGAAATTTCTCCTAAAAGTCATCAGTTGACCTCCAAAAATTGAAAAGAAAATGAAAGATGATGAAATAAGCTTTAATTTGATGTGTGTCTCGAACACTTTGGAGAGTTGTGAGTATTTTTCCCGAATTATTGAAGTGGGAGCATTTACCATTGGGGTCTATGGAATTTTATTTACTGGTCTGCTACCTATAGTTTCAAAATGGCGCCTTCCATAGTTTGTTGTCAAATGTTTGCGGAGTGTTTTTTTTCAGGGGGGCGGAACCTGGGGGGGGGGGCAGCGTTTCAAAAGAGGTCACCAATGGCGGTTCCACAACAAATGCGCCCAAAATCTGAATAGGGCCGATGGACCGTCGTCCGATCACAGCAATTTCGAGCGAACAAGGGGGGGGGGTGTAATTTGGGGTCGGAAGGAGCAAAAACTCAATTAACGCCCGTTGAGGGCGCCCTGCAGTAAGGTAGCCGCAAACAGAGGGCTTGTTTTCAGGCCAGAAATCGCAGTCAGAGATTTTTTTCTTGCAATTTTTTGATGAAATATGAGTCATCCATCCTTCCTCGTGCCGTACAAGTGGTTTGGGGAAATTTTTCAAAACCTCGCTTCTCTATAGTTTCAAAATGGCGCCTTCCATAGTTTGTTGTCAAATGTTTGCGGAGTGTTTTTTTTCAGGGGGGCGGAACCTGGGGGGGGGGGGGGCAGCGTTTCAAAAGAGGTCACCAATGGCGGTTCCACAACAAATGCGCCCAAAATCTGAATAGGGCCGATGGACCGTCGTCCGATCACAGCAATTTCGAGCGAACAAGGGGGGGGGGGTGTAATTTGGGGTCGGAAGGAGCAAAAACTCAATTAACGCCCGTTGAGGGCGCCCTGCAGTAAGGTAGCCGCAAACAGAGGGCTTGTTTTCAGGCCAGAAATCGCAGTCAGAGATTTTTTTTTCTTGCAATTTTTTGATGAAATATGAGTCATCCATCCTTCCTCGTGCCATACAAGTGGTTTGGGGAAATTATTCAAAACGTCGCTTCTCTATAGGGTGCAGACCAGTAAATCGGTCCGAAATTGCCTGCGCCGGCCAAATCACGATTTGCATGCCCTCAAAATCTTCGGTATTTGAGCATGCTGTGGGCCATGAACTTGAGGGATTGTAAAAAATATGGGTGGAAGCCGTGCACAGGACTGGGAGCTTGCAGTTCTGTGTAATTTTGATGTAATTTGGACCCTAAAAGCGCTCTATTTTGCAATGGAGTGTAGGCATCGTTTTTCAAAATGGCGAAGGGCTTCAGGACTATTTTCAGGGGTGATCATCTTCAGATGGAAATTTCTCCTAAAAGTCATCCCCGAAAATTGAAAAGAAAATGAAAGATGATGAAATAAGCTTTAATTTGATGTGTGTCTCGAACACTTTGGAGAGTTGTGAGTATTTTTCCCGAATTATTGAAGTGGGAGCATTTACCATTGGGGTCTATGGAAGTTTATTTACTGGTCTGCTACCGTAAGGGCACTCCCGTACATTTTACCAACATCAACCTCTTCCAATAGAGGGCGCGCTACACAAATAGTGGTCATCACCGTAAAGCAACGCGGATCACGATCTGCCCAAACGAAGTCGGCATTAAGTGAACAAAAATACCACACAGTTTTGGAGATGATAACTCAAGAAAAACACATTGCACTGAATTGAAATTTCGTCCAATAATTGTTCGATATCGACGAGAACAATTGAAGAATAAATTTTATATGATTTAAAGAAATACAGTGTACAAATCGCGGAAAATTCAATCTGAATTCAACTTCAAGTCACTTTTTAATTGAACATGAATAAAGCACTCTTTGTGGAGATGATAACTCAAGAAAACCAAATTACATTGAATTAAAATTGCGTCCAATAACTGAACAAAAATAAACATACTTTTATGGGGACAGCTCACGAAAATACACATTGCACTGATCGCGATCCGCGTTGACAAACGTTTTCACGGTGGTGACCACTATTTGTGAAGCGCGCCCTCTTTTGGAAGAAATTGCTGTTAGCAAAATTGATTGCCTTTATAGTTTTTGTTTTTGTTGTATTAATTTGGTTTTTTTTTAACAGTTATTGTGCTATTGTTTTTTAAAGCTATCGTGCCATATAACACGACCAATCATTGGACGAAATTTCAACTCAATGCAATGTGTTTTTCGAGAGTATATCGTCTCCACAAAGAGTGTTTTATTTTTGTTCAGTTTAAAGTGACTTGAATTCGGATTGAAATTTTCGTGCTTAGCACTCGGTATTTTTTAAAAATCATATTAAATTTATTCTTCAACAGTTGCCATCAATTTTTGAACCTGTCATGTTACATAACACGACCAATCATTGGACGAAATTTCAACTCAATGCAGTGTCTTTTTCGAGAGTTATCGTCTCCACAAAGAGTGTTTTATTTTTGTTCAATTAAAGGAGACTTGAATTTGGATTTTCGAGATTAATATGTTGTTTTTTTCTGTAAATCATATTAAATATATTCTTCCACAGTTGCCGTCAATTTTTAAACCTGTCGTGTCACATATCATGACTTAACAGCGGGCGTAATTTCAATTCAGTGCAATATGTTTTTGGCAATATTTTTTCGTGAGTTATCGTCTCCACAAAGAGTGCTTTATTTTTGTTCAATCAGAACCCGGGCAGATTGTGATTGGCTTTGATTTTTTTACGGTAGTGACCGCTATTTGTGTAGCGCGCCCTCTGTTGGAAAATCCACGCCGTTTCTTGCGCAATATTAAAATCCAAAATGGCAGCCCCCACGAGTAAAACGAGTGAAACGAAAGTTGACGAGGAGGACCACACAGAAACTGAAGAAGAGAGCACCTTTGCATCACTAGTAAGGAAAACGTTATTCTATCTTTGCTATAAAAAGTTGTGTTATTAAAAATGATTATACTTCAAGTTGTCATGAAGTATCGTGTGGCCTAGTTTCCGGACAATTGAAGTTGCCACAATTGAAGTTGCCACACTAGACATGCTAGAGCCGTACCATACCCCTACTCCCTAGCGAGTAGCGGAGCCGGCCCCATAGACGACTTACCCCACAGCATTGTTTACTTCTTCAAAACACCAACAAAGTAAAAAGGTACGGAAAAAAAAGGGGGGAATTGTTTTGGAAATTGGATATGGTGATCTCTGAGAGACGAGCATGACGAATATCAGAGAACGTATCTAACATCGAAGTGGCTATCGTTACGGCAGTCGTTGTTTAGCGCCCTCTACGATACTTTTTTGATACGCACGCAGGTATGTAATTATTTGTTTCCACATGGTTTAGCGAGCAGTGCGTCAGCTCAGGCGGTAGAGGGTAGGATTTTGCACCACGAGGTTGTGGGTTCGAATCTCAGTTTTGCACTCAAATTTTTTTCCTTTTCTAACCTGAAGCTTTGGAGGATTTTTTTTTAAAGGAAATAAAGTCTGAATTTCATAACGTTCAAATTCACTTTTTTCCCTTTTTTATATTTTCTTGTCATGTTTTTATAAAAGTTGCAGTCTACCGTAACGATAGAAAATGGGAAATGCGTTACGGCTGCCGTAACAATAGCCACTGCGATCTAACATCGATGCATGCGCACACACAGTCATAATGACCAACTCGCAACAAGGCAGTGGATTCGCACACATGACAAGGATATATGTTGGTGCTAATGTTTTGACACTTGTTTTCTTTGCAGGGCGTAGTAGATGTGCTGTGTGAAGCATGTGAACGTCTGAAATGGAAGACCCCAACCAAAATACAGCGAGAGTCTCTTCCACTCAGTCTGAAAGGTTGGTTTCATTATAGTTTTTATTAAAAAGGTTTCTTCCCTGTCCCTGTTATTTTTCTCAGCTGTGAGCTTATAGATCTGATACACTCCTTGACCCTGACTCCCTGTGGGGTACTGTGGTCTAATGGTGGCCGTGGGAACATGGGGCTTGTGCTCTTGAGCAAGGCACTTTACCACTATTGCTTCGTCCTTCGGATGAGACGTAAAGCCGTAGGTCCCGTGTGTTGTGTAATGCACGTTAAAGAACCCAGTAACACTTGTCGCTAAGAGAAGGGGTTCGCCCCGGTGTTTCTGGCAGTGGCCGCAGCACCTTGTAAACCCTGGTGCCACACGTCCAGTTTAAATTCCCAGGATGGAATATTTCGGAGAACCACCAACCAAGTACCAAGTAGTACCTAGGCATTTTTGCTGGGATGCAACCTCAATCCTGCAAAATCCTCCAACTGCCACCATGTAAAAAATAGCACACAGCTTCAATCCTTTAAAATCATCCGTTATTTCTTGAAGTTGGCCATAGAGGGGTAACCACTGCCTCAATCCTGCAAAATCCTTCAGCAATCACTGTCAGTATGTTGAGGCAGGGCCACTGACATCCTGGAGCAGTGCGTAGGATTCCAAGTATAATCTAAGCCTATATTTATGCACGGCTGAGCATGAATGACACAAGGTTCAGGCTTTAGACCTGAACACATTTTGCAGAGAGGATTTTTGAGGTTTTGGAAGGTTGTGTTAATACAGTCAAAGAGTGATTATGAATAGCTAACTACCTACCCAACAAATACAAAAAAAGAAAAAGTTGTAGTCATTCTTAATGATACTTGAATTGTCAAATTAATAATAAATAGAGCATTAATATTTATTAGTATTATTATTATTGATTAAATTACAAAGTGACACGGCAACACGGAAAAAAACAAGTGTCCCACTTTGGACTCTCAACTCATAGAATGACCCAGATATAGTAGCTAGCCCTTTGCAAACAGAAAACAAAATTGAAAGAGTAGCTGTGCCCTTTCGTAGTTTATTTGCAGGGTGTAAATTTTTCTGCTAAGTTGCCTACGCAGTTTTTGATCACCACGACTTGATGTAATAGATTTTCTGTTTGGTGCGTGTGCCCTTGGGCAAGGCACTTTGTCACTCATTGCTTCTCTCCACCCAGGAGTAAATGGGTACCTGTGAGGGCAGAGATGGTTATTGTGATTGAATTAGCTTCCTTGCCGCTAACAGGCTGCATCGAGCTGTATACTCCCCAGGGAGCTGAGATGGTATTTGGAATGTTTCATGATGTGCCCAATGAGCAGGGGTAATAATGATGCAGCGCCTTGAGCACCAGTCCTGGTGGATACGTGCGCTTTGTAAATATCCACTATTACATGTATTATTATTATTGTTTGAAATTACAGGGCGTGATATCATTGGCTTGGCGGAGACAGGTTCCGGTAAGACCGGGGCCTTCGCCATCCCGATCCTGCAAGCGTTGCTGGAGAGACCCCAGAGACTCTTTGCCTTAGTGCTCACGCCAACGCGGGAACTCGCCTTCCAGATATCGGAGCAGTTTGAAGCTCTGGGATCCGGCATAGGTGTCACTTGCGGTACGATAAGGACCAAAAATGATTTGGGGCGCAATTCAAAACATGACACTGCAACTTTGGAGTTGAAACCGAGATCTTAGAATATTGTTTTCTCAGAATGTATGGCATTCACAAAGCTAAGACTTCATTAGGTTAGTTGTTAGGCACCCGTCTTTAGATTTTTAGCACTTTTGTTGCTTCAAACAAACAAAATGCACAACATGACAAATGATATACTACCTTTAAAACCAAATTGGTTTTTTTGACTGATTGCAGCTGTGGTTATTGGAGGCATTGACATGATGACGCAAGCTCTACAACTGGCCAAGAAGCCACATGTCATAGTAGGTAGGTCCGAACTTCACTTCAATTTCATGTACCTTTGAAATAAAACATTACAATTAAAGGGAATATACAACATTTGCAAACATCGAAAAACAAAACTACCAAGTTTTTACGAAATACCCTACTAGAATGTTGGTAAATGACAGTCTCAAGCATCTTGTAAAATTATGGCACCTGATGTGAAGTCATTTTCAAGAAAATGGTATTTTTGTATACATTTCCAACGGTGGTCGGCCGACCAGCGTTGGAAAAACCTAACTACTTTTCAACTGCTGCTCCAAATTTACCATTTTTCAGTCCAAATTTTGTTTGCTATTGGTTACATGTTCATGAACGGGTGCAGGCCAGCTAGACTGGTTCCCTTGCCTTACAATTTTCCATCATCTATAAATTGAGCCATTTTATCTTTTGTGGAGTCAGGGAACCAGACTACTTGAACATTTTTGTTTTTCTTGGTTTTTCAAACTTTTTCTAACACAAAACTTTAAAAATGTCAGTGTAACAATATTTGATCAATTATACTAACCCCTCAAATAGTTCATTTCTGAAAATTACAGCAAAAGCCAATGATGTACATTCCCTTTAAAGGCCAATGAAATCACCTGCATTTCTTATTTTTCCTTTTCAACTGATACGGTCATCAATAGCACTCCAAATCCTATAGGTGTAAAGAAAATAAATTTAAGCTTAAGTTCAGTGGGTACTATTCTTTGTGAGACAATATAACAAGGATTTTGGGCCTTTTGCGTCTTCGGCTCTTTTGCATTGAAAACAAACAGTTATCCTGGGCAGTGTGAAAGTTTACGCAAAATACCAGGGTTTACAAAATGTATATTGCTCTTTTTACTCTGTTAGAGATGTTAGGGGCCGGTCTCAATTAAAATAGCAGGGACAACTTCTGGATAAAATCAGTCGCTTCGTCCGGAAGAAGCTCTGCATTTGTTCCGAACATGTTCCGAGATATTTTCACTTGCAACTGCTTGACTCACCGATACTGATGACTTCATTGCGGGAAGATTGCAGGGGAAGTTGTTCAGAATCCTGCAACTTACATGTCCGCAACTTGTCAAAAAATCTTGCCGGATTAAAATTGACACGGGCCCTAATTACCTGTGTCTTTACTTTTCTGTTGTTCAAGTGTAATTGTACAGGGTGAGTTTAAAAAAAATGAAACCCAAATGTCGGGACTATTGTTTCAGTGAAGTTCTGCATGTAGCACTCTCTAAATCTAGGATATGAAAGCCCAATTCATAAGCTTTCTTTTAGTACAAGAATCATTGAAATCACTCAAGTACTTTTCAAGTAATGGAATTTTAAACACAACCGCCGTTATTAAGTTCAGTCCACGGATCACAAAAAAGGTGCGCGTTCTTTCAGCAAAACAAAAACAATTCACACACATCCCCGTGTGATTTGTTTTTGTTTGCTGAAAGAACACTTACCTTTTTGTGATCCGTGGGCAGATTTTTTAAACGGTGGTTATGTTTGAAATTGTGTAACTTGAAAATTACATGAGTGATTTGAATGATTCTTGTACTGAAAGAAAGCTTATGAGTTGGGCTTTCATATGCTAGATTTTCAAAGTGCTACTTGCAGAACTTCACCTAAACAATGGTCCCGACATTTGGGTTTCGTTATTTTTTTACTCACCTAATATTTTAAGTTTGTGTGTAGTGAATTGAGAGGGCCCCAAAATGGGAACTCAGATTTTCTAGTGCATGTACCTTATTTGAATCTTACATAGACCATGTGCATTCAGCAGACACCGTTGAGGTGGTTTTGTTGTTGTTTTAATGCTGTAACAGTGAATGCACTGAAAGGTTAATCCAAGTGTATACACAAGGGCGGATCCAGAACACAATTTGGGAGGGGGGGGGCCAAAAAAAAAATGTGTGTCTCCCAAAAAGTGGGTCAAAAAATTACGGCGTGGGGTTCGGGGCCCGCTTAAGGGCCCCAAAATTGTTTTGGATTCTCGATGCTCTGTGGTGCGATCTGAGGCAATTTCTGACCACTTTAGCCAATGTTTTTTGAGGAAAAGATGGTGGTGTACTCATTGCCTGCCTTTAGTGCGACGTCACATAAAAAAAACCAATTGGTTTCGTTTTTTTGGGGGTGAGGGCATGGCCCCCTTTGGCCCCCCCCCCCCCCCCCCCCCCCCCCCGGATCCGCCCTTGTGTATACACAGTCCTTCCGATTTGAATGTCACAGGCGTGTGGAAAAAGGCACACCTGGATTTTTCTAGGCGTGTGATTTTTCTAGGCGTGTGATTTTTCTAGGCGTGTGATTTTTCTAGGCGTGTAATTTTTCTAGGCGTGTGATTTTTCTAGGCGTGTAATTTTTCTAGGCGTGTGATTCTGTGTTGGAAGCTGGCACTGAACAATCTGGTATTTTTTTTTTATAATATTCATCTTGGTTTACAGTGAAGCCATTTCAAGAGCTCACAGAAAGGGGTTATCTATTGCCCAGTTCTTACCAAATTTTATATTGATTTGTCCATAAATGTATGCCGAGGTGTGGGGTGTAGCGGGATTCAGGTATTCTTGGGAAGCTTTTTAGGCGTGCGATGGCGTAGGGGTGCGATGGCGCGCCTCAAATCAGAAGGACTTTGTATACCCGTGGAACAAAAGCGCATGGATAGCACGTAGACTTTACTTTCCAGCCGTACATGTAAGTGGATGATTAACATATTCGATGATAAGTGATGTTGTCATGAAGTTTTGCTTTATTTTGTTGGTTTCTTCCTTAGCTACCCCGGGCCGTCTTGTTGATCACTTGGAAAACACCAAAGGTTTCAGCCTTCGAGCCTTAAAATACCTGGTGAGTTCGATTTCAGTGTAAAGTGTTCTTCGGAACTTAGAACTGTGAGAGCATACCACTCTTGTCTTACCAAGTTTACTTCGAGCCCAAACCCTGTTTGTGCAAAATGGAGAAGATGAAATCTTCGCGTCAGTGCAACAAGGTCGTAACTTGATACTGCAACAAATTCGCATCTCGTGGGAATACGCTCCGTGCAACATGGTTGTATCTGGCATATCGCAGCGTCCTTTGACTTTGTGTGTACATCCGGGTTATTTTAAGCGAGATACGACCTTTTGATACTGAAAACTCGCATTTCACGTACATGACATCGCACGCCATTTTAGGAGATAGACCTTGTTGCACGGACACGACAAAGTGTTGAGCAGTTTGGTTTTTTTTTTATTTTGGCAGGTAATGGATGAGGCTGATCGCATCTTGAATATGGATTTTGAAGCCGAGCTGGATAAGATCCTGAAAGTCATTCCCAAGGAGAGGAACACGTATCTCTACTCTGCAACTATGACTAAAAAGGTACTGCAAAACTAGGCCAATAGACCTTTTTCATGCTGCCATCATTTCAGTCATGTTCCCCGTATCCAATAACAGTACGGAATGATAATGTTTTTTGTGCAGAAAGGAACCAGACTATTTTTCCTTCCAGCCTCGCTTTGGTTATGTTGATTTGAATGGGAAAAAAAATCAAGATGGCCACAACATGATAATGGTCTATAGTCATGGTTTAAAATCAGATTTTCAATAACAAATGTGTACAGTGTGGAGTTTGAGACTGCAAATGTTGAGAATACGGTGTTAAATCAATTGAGCTGATCCTTGCCCATTTTTGGTGATTTCTTAACATGTTTCTTTGAGCACCTACGTGTTTGTCTATTTGAAAACCATTCTCTTGTTTCTTTGAAATACTCAATTCAGTGCACATGTAATGCCTTTTCATTGCTTCCATGTTATACATTCAAGTCAAGATCAGTTGCTCAAAGTGAAGATCAGGGACCAATTTCACGGTGCTGCTAAGCACAAACAATTTGCTTGGCACAAAAAAGTATGGCTTATAAAAGCAGGTCACCAGCCAAAACTCCACGTGATGTATATTGCTCGTGATTAGCATTGAGCTGTTGTATGCTGTAGCGTGAAAATCACAGTTTTGGCTGGTAACCTGCTTTTATAAACCAGACTTTTTTTGTGCTCAGCAAATTTTTGTGCTTAGCAGCGCCGTGAAATTGGGCCAAGGTTAGTACCGAATTTGGAAGAAAACAATCATGGAATGTGGTTTCAATATACTAAAAAATAGCGCCCTCATTCGCTGTTTTCTCAAAATGTTATAATCAATTAAGCTTAAAGGTAGAGTACATGTAGATCATTTGCAGCTATCCAAAAAGTGACTGACAAAATTATTGTTAAAGGGAATGTACATCATTGGCTTTTGCTTTAATTTTTAGAAATGCACTTTTTGAGGGGTTAGTATAATAGATGAAATTATTGTTGCACTGACATGTTTGAAGTTTTGTGCTCGAAGATGCTGTAAAAACCAAGAAAAACAAAAATGTCCAAGTAGTCTGGTTCCCTGACTCCACTGATAATGAAATGGATCAATTTATAGATGTCGGAAAATTGTACGGTAAGGGAACCAGTCTAGCTGGCCTGCTCCCATTCATGAACATGTAACCAATAGCAAACAAAATTTGGACTGAAAAAAATTGGTTAATTTGGAGCAGCAGTTGAAAAATAGTTACGTTTTTCCAACGGTGGTCGGCCGACCAGCGCTGGAAATGTATACAAAAATACCATTTACTTGAAAATGACCTCACACCAGGTGCCATAATTTTACAGGATGCTTTAGACTATCATTTACCAACATCCTGTAAGGTATTTCATAAAAACTCGGTAGTTTTATTTTTCGATGCTTGCAAATGTTGTATTTTCCCTTTAAATAACTTACTTGGTTTAAAGATAGTAATGGCACTAAACTCCCTGTGAAATTATTCGTTCTGGCATGCTGTCATTTTGGAGAAAACAATAAAAGAAGGCAATTTCCAAAGATGCTTCAAGTGATGCATTTTTGGAAATTTCCGTTAGAAGTTTGATTTTAATTCGGCGAAGCCTTGAATGGGTGCGCGCACAAGCGTTGACACGACGCACAGGCGTGCGCGGTTGCCATAATTTGTCGGTTCAGTCCGTGACATTGCATAGCTGCATTCGACTGAATGAGAACATGTCTGATTTCGGGCGCAATTCAAAACATGACTCGGCAACTTTTGATTTGAAATAGAGATCATAGAATATTGTTTTCTCGGAATATACAGCATTCGCTGAGCTAAAACTTCATCAGGTTAGTTGTTAAGCACCCTTCTTTAGATTTTGAGCACTTTTGTTGCTTCAAACGAAAAAAAAAAAAAAATGCAAAAATGACAAATAATATACTCTGACTTTAAATTCTTCAGGTTAGTTGTAATCCACCCTTCCTAAGACTGAGCAGTTTTGTAATTTGTAATTGTAGTTTTGTAAATTTGAAAAAAAAATGCACAAATGACAAATGATCATATGTACCTTACGACCTGCATTTTCCTCAGGTTGCCAAACTTCAACGGGCGTCATTGAAAGAGCCGGTCAAGGTGGAGGTATCCAGCAAGTATGACACGGTGGAGAAACTGCAGCAGTTTTACGTCTTCATACCAGCCAAGTACAAGGCAAGCCAGTTGTATCAATCAATTGTGAACGGATCCCATAAAATGAGTTTGAAGGACAATTTTCACTAAAACATGTACGCGAACGCGAATTTGTAACGTCCGGGCGGGTTTTCGCGCTGCGAATTCACAACAGTTGAACACATTTCAACTCCGGTGAATTTTGCAGCAAATCCTCCGTGACGTCAAATTCACTTCACATTCGCATAAAGAATGAAGCGGCGTTTGGGTTGTGTAGCCAGAAATCTTGTATGGGAGAGAGAGGTTCTTACAATTTTCTTGCAGCCTGCAGGAAACTAGTTGCTCCAGAAAGCTGCCGCTTTCGGGAAATTTGTGATGGCAAAGTTCTTCATATTTTATATGCAGTTTCCATTTCCGTAAAATAAAAGGTGTTTTTTGTTTGAAAGAAAAATCGGAGCTAAACAAATTACAAATAAACGATCTTCCTCAGGCCTGGACATTTCTTAAGGTGACACTTGATTCGACAACACTTGCAGACGAATCTTCTTCATTTATTTAGCCTACAGACTTAAAAATAACCTGGTGGTTCAAGTGTATGCATGTGTAGATACAAAGTAACGGAAACACGCAACCGCAGTCACAGCATATATACTGGGTTACAGACGGCAGTCTTTTTGAAGTGTTGACTAAACGTTTAAATGCTAACCGAAAAATTTCAAATTAATCACATCCTGATTAGGTTGGCGTCTTACTTTATAAAGATGTGCCGGTGAAAATGTTGATTGTTGCTTGTGTTGGTTTCAATTGTGTAAGAATCTGTCAAAAAAGCCAATTCCTCAAAAAACCAAAGTGCGATAGAATTTTTAAAATGTACAAAAAAATCCTGTACCAATTAAATCTGCACCTTTTCTTTAGGCCAAAAAACAAAGTCTCCGGTTTCTGGTATGGAGCTTTTTTTTTTTTTTTACCTGATTTTTTTTCTTCAAATGTCGGCTGATGACTGCAAATGGTGCCCGACTAAACTTAGTACAAATAGGCTTATATGGGATTGGGAGTCCAGAGAGGCCACATAAAGCTTATTCTGGACCATAACCCCATCTAAAAACACGTTAAAATTGTGCAGCAGCAGAATTCCAGTCAAACCAGTGAGTTTGGCGGTTTTGAGACATCATCTTTCATTGAAAAAAAAACTTGTTCATTTTGCCGACGCGCATGGCTACGGCGACGCGCGCGCATACCAGAAACCGGAGACTTTTTTTTGGGCCTTATGGTCTGCTTTTCTGCAGTGAACAGTATGAATATCTGTTGGAGTTCAGTTGAGTACAAGATAGTCATCGGACTAATTTCACCAATTGGCTTGATTGCTGGTCCTGCCTTTCAAGCTGATAAGGCCAAAAAAAAAAGTCTCCGGTTTCTGGTATGCGCGGGCGTCGCTGTAGCCATGCGCGTCGGCAAAATGAAAAAGTTTTTTTTTCAATGAAAGATGATGTCTCAAAACAGCCAAACTCACTAGTTTGAGTGGAAACCTGCTGCTGCACAATTTTAACGTGTTTTTAGATGGGGTTATGATCGAGAATAAGCTTCATGTGGCCTCTCTGGTCTCACATAATATTTGCACTAAGTTTAGTCGGGCACCATTTGCTGGATACCTCCACCTTGACATTTGAAGCAAAAAAAACAGGTAAAAAAAAAAAAAAAAGCCGCGTCGCCGCACCACTTTTGGGGCAAGCTCCATACCAGAAACCGGAGACTTTTTTTTTTGGCCTAATGCAGCTTTTGTTCTTGAATAAAGGTTTCAAATCTCTTCCACCCAAAAAAATTTAAAAGTTGGAAACCCCACATTACCGTTACTACGGGAACCAGGTACCCTGTAATCGAGTTCGGTATTCCAACTGCACATGTGCACATCAAGATTTGCCGATTTTTTCTCTCGGGATTAAAATTTCATTGTATATCGGGGTACCAGCAAAATTGAAGAGATATCGTGTTCTGAAGTACAACATTTTGCAAAAAGCCTTTGGACAGGGAAGTGTTTTTAGGTGTCCTCTGTGTCCAAACTTGTGTGTGAACGAAAGTTCCATCTCTTTTTGATTGCACGAAAAAATTGCACAGAATGCAGATTTGGTTACCACGTCCCCCTTCGCCTTGTGTGCATTTATCTGCCGCGGTTATCCCGAAAAAAAAAATCGACGAATCTTGCTGTGTATTAGACTGTTTTGGGACACCGAACTGGCTTATTGAAGTAAAGCATTGGCACCTGGATACATGTAAAAGACAGTCTTGTCAAAACTGAAGGTGACAAAAACTGCAACCTGGTAACGCTAGTCCTGAAGGGCTTTTTAGATTTACAGTGTAAACTGCAACATCTGTGAGCGTCGTCTGTCGCACGTTAAAATGCCCAAAAACGTGAGATCTGTTTTTGGTTTACATGTAACCTGGTTTTCATTTTGAAAATTCCCCACATTTTATTGTCTGAGAAGTTATTAAGTAATTTGTAAAGTTGGTCACGGGTACTTGATTCCATAATCTGGAACCGGTTCCTGACATCAGCGGTCGGGTACTCGGCGGAACCCGGTTCCGATGCTCACCCCTAACTTCTTTTCAACATACAATTCACGCTGTTGGTCACAGTACCTAATAAATCTACCAAAATTTTGTGTGATTTCTTATTTGAAAGTAATGTAAATTTTAACATTGATGCCTAAAAAGTGTAGTAACAGTTAAATGTTTATATACTTTTTTTAAAGCCAGGAAGTGCCTTGTTTTAGAATAGATTGTCAAATTACTTGAAATGTTCTGTTTCACAGTGAAACACAAGTGTCGTTGATTTTCATCCAGATACCTGTCATTTTTTTTTGGATTGTTTCTTTTATTTTTAGGACTGCTACTTAGTGTACATCTTGAATGAGTTGGCTGGCAACAACTTCATGGTGTTCTGCAGCACATGTAACAACACACAGCGAGTGGCACTCATGTTGCGCAACCTGGGTATGACGGCTATTCCATTGCACGGGCAAATGTCACAGGTATGTTGAATCATAACTTAAAGCCAGAGTCCATCATTTGCAGCTATCCAATAAGTAATTATTGTTGAAAAACATACTTAGTTGAAAGATAGTAAGGGAACTAAACTGCCTGTGTAATTACTCTTTCTGGCAAGCTGTCATTTTGAAGAAATCAACGAAAAAAGGCCTTCTCCAACGGTGCGTCTTAAGAAGCACCGTTGGAAATGTCCGTTAGTATAGTAGTTCGTTTTCTTATTTGGTGAAGCGTGTGCAAGCGTTGACACGGCGCACACGCGCGTTTGGCTGCTATAATTCGTATGGTCGGATCGGTGCGCGACATCGCATAGCTGCAGTAGGCTAGCGAGAATGTGTCTCAGACGCTGAATTCAGGCCCAATTCAAAACATGATGCAGCAACTTATGATTTGAAATCGAGATCCTAGAACGCTGTTTTTCTCGAAATATACAGCTGAAGCTGATCTGAAACTTCATCAGGTTAGTTGTTCAGCACCCTTTTTTAGATTCTGAGCACTTTTGTTGCTTCAAACGAACAAAATGCACAAAGTACAAATGATGGACTATACCTTTAACCAGAGTGAAGTTTGTTGACATGCGGCAGTCTTGTAGTCTAGTCCTTCACTAGTCCTTAAGCTGCCCTCGGGTCAACCTTGCGACGACGCAGAACAGTCAGCGACTGACTTTTCAGGATCAAGCTGCGCCTCATCTACGACCATCAGGAACAACTTAGTCGCCAATTTTTTGCGACCTGAGTGTAACTGGGACGATATTCCGACGATCGGATTTAGTCGCCGCACAAGAAAACCAACAGTCACAAGAGTAGAACAATTTCAACTTTTGCGGCGTGTTCCCAACAGGCGGGAATCAATCGCTGTCGACCTTTGTTTAATTTACGACGTCGTGCGCGCATCAAGATCATCTTATTTCATTGTGCAGCCAAGCAGCGTGCGGCATAAATGGTCGAATGAACAGACGTGGGCGTGGAAGGTCGTTTGACTGTTATCAACACGCTTTTAACCGCTATTGATTAAGAAGTCACATGAATGTCTGTGCCGTGGAATCGTAGTAGCGTCGTGGGTGAATTAAGCATGGCTGTGATTGTTTTGTTTCGAGATGCCGTATGTTCCAAGAGAATCACACAATTTCTCAGTTTTGTGACTTGACCATTACTTTCCTGCTTGATGCCGACAGTTCCGTTGCGCCACAAGCAAATCACAGGTTGACCTGAGGCCGGCTTAACAAGTCCCTCGCATGCCTCCACAAGTCCATCACAAGCCAATCACCAGCCAATCACATGTCAATCACAAATCATCGCCAGTCAATTTCAAGTCCGTCACAAGTCCATCACAAGTCCATCACAAGTCCGTCACTAGTCTATCACAAGTCCATCACAAAGTCAACACAAGTCCGTCACTAGTCTATCACAAGTCTGTCACAAGTCTGTCACAAGTCCCTCACAAGGCCATCACAAGTCCACCACAAGTCCGTCACTAGTCTATTACAAGTCCATCACAAAGTCAACACAAGTCCGTCACTAGTTTATCACAAGTCTGTCACAAGTCTGTCACAAGTCCCTCACAAGGCCATCACAAGTCTATCACAAGTCCATCACAAGTCCACCACAAGTCATTGCAAGTCCATCACAAGTCCATCACAAGTCCATCACAAGTCCATCACAAGTCCTCACAAGTCCATCACAAGTCCATCACAAGTCCACCACAAGTCATTGCAAGTCTATCACAAGTCCATCACAAGTCCATCACAAGTCATCACAAGTCCTCACAAGTCCATCACAAGTCCATCACAAGTCATTGCAAGTCTATCACAAGTCCATCACAAGTCATTGCAAGTCTGTCACAAGTCCATCACAAGTCCATCACAAGTCTATCACAAGTCCTCACAAGTCCATCACAAGTCATTGCAAGTCCATCACAAGTCCATCACAAGTCATTGCAAGTCCATCACAAGTCCATCACAAGTCCATCACAAGTCATTGCAAGTCTATCACAAGTCCATCACAAGTCATTGCAAGTCCATCACAAGTCCATCACAAGTCATTGTAAGTCTATCACAAGTCCATCACATGTACATGTATGTGGGCAATTCTACACAAATGGGCCCAAAAGTGTGACATTTGAGAAGACCTTTAAGTTTTGATGATAAAACTACGATCTTGTTCTCTCAAATTTTTGCTGTAAACATTGCAAGCTTTAAACAAATATCCTCACCTGCAAATTATTTAACTGGTTTTGTATTTAGGAAATATGGTGGATATTGATTTAAAAAGTGGTACGTATGTAACGAAGGACAGACATTTTAGATAAAGTCACAAAGTAAGCATAAAATTTAATGATCCCCTAATGTGGACTTATTTAAGAAGATGTACAGTGGAGGAATGCTATCAGTCAAAACCTAGAAAACTCAGAGTCAATGTGAAGAATTATTTGATATTTTATAATCAGGATTTATACGTACGAACAGACTGGACATTTGTCACAAAATGTCTGTCCCTGTTCGTACATAACCCTAATCACATCATAACTTTGAAGCCAGTGCAAAAACTGTAATATTTTCGCTTGATAGCGATGTGAATGGGTTGATAATGTTGAATGAAAGTGCCTATTAGAAATTGAATTTGTCCTAAGCACCCTTTTCCTTGCAGTTTGTCTGTCCACGTTACATACGTATCACATAGAAAAGATGCCCGTTATTTTCTCCAAAAAAAAAAGATATCATCTTTCGTCTTGTCTTGTCCTAGCCACTTTCAACTAGCAACGTATAGGAAAAACTGAAGAAAATACTAACTCATCTTATATTCTCATTTTTAGCGTATGATTTGAGTAAAATGTTTGCCCTTTTCTTTTTATCAATATGGTATTTTTTTTGTAAGGAGGCAGAACTCTATGCCCGAATCTAAAACAAATTACCTTGAAAAAATGGACTCGCCATGGTAATCTCTTGGTGGCCCACTTTTTGTGAGTGTGTTCGATTACTTCCCCCGCGGCCGCGCTTACTCATGCAAGCGCGAGACAGTGTTCGATTTACCTCTCAAGTGACTCCTCAAGTGTTCGATTTACCTCTCAAGTTACTCGAGCCTGGCCCAAGTAACCGACTCGCCGAGCCGGTTACTTGGGTAAGTATCCCATAAGGCCATGCAATTGACATGGCTGCCAACGTGACGTCCGGCGGGCGCCTCAGGCCGGCCGTGTCTGAAACGGGCTTCCAGAGCTACGGCTTCGTCTATTGTCAGCGCGTCCCCGCGTATTTTCAATGGGCGTGGACCTGGACCTAGCTCTAGACAGTTGATTCGGATGCAGCCTGTGTCATGTCAAAGTTCAACTTTCCAGCTCTTGTTACACGAAACTTTACCCGAAACCGTTCGTTTATTTAGCTCCACTGCGTATGTCTGTCATCACTTGAGGAGCCAGGCACATGTGAGCTGGGGGAAGTTATCGAACGCACTCATTGTAATCTTTCACGAGGGTAGTCCATTTTCAGTTTAAGAAAACTGCATTGTGAATCGCCCAAATTGTGAACTGCCTGAATTGCAAGTTATGGAATGGACATCAATTGTTGTATTTTTTTTCTTCTTGGTTGCTCCTTTAGTCCAAGAGGTTAGGAACGCTGAATAAATTTAAAGGGAAGAGCAGATCCATCTTGATTGCAACTGACGTAGCCAGCAGGTAAGTTTGTCGTGTCAAATAATGACCTTTCACCATAAAATAAGAATCAAGTTGCGAAGTGTTTATCAGCACCCGATTTCACGAAGCACAACCCAAGTTACGAGGTGTAACATGTCGCAACACGGGACGCGTCGTATGATCCATGAAACGAAACTTGCAATGTGTTGAACGCGTCGCAAGTTCCTTGACAACGGCTTTTTAGCTGTAGCATGTGGAAATACAATCGCCGATGAATAATTTTTTTTCTGTCGGAAAGAAGGCCTATACGATGAGTTTTTACAATTTGATTTGCCGATGGTGTTATTAAATAAGTCTGAACCTATGGGCCTATTCTTGAAAATTTTAAGTGGACTGAATTTTAAACCTGAACAAGTTCAGGATAGATTGAAGGGCAAAAACCTGCAATTTTACATGCAAAAACTGGGGGAAAGGGATGGGGGTTGGGGGTTGGGGGCAAAAAGCTTAGATTTTCTTAGTCATGACATGGCGGTGTGGAGTTTTAGTTTTACTTTGATTCAATTACACTGATTTCACACTTAAATTATATGTATTATTAAATAATTGTCTAAGCATTTTTTTTTCCTATTCATAGTTGCTATTGATCAACTAAAAATTTATTACAAAAACTGTGATAAAATGTAGAGAAAGAAATTAAGTGGACAATCACAAGGAAGCATCCTTGCAGCGATTTACTAAATGTCATACATTATGATACAATCCCTTTTACAAAATAAAATTGAAAAATATGAGATAAAATACATTAGTCCTATTTCTGTTCTGATTTTAAATAAATATTCACATTTTGGCAACGTCCTATATCAGGGTTCGAAATTAGCGGTCGCCGGCTAGCCAAATGTTAGTCAAAATAGCGGCGGGCTAGTCAGACTATTCCTTAACTGTTTCGCTACGGCGAGCCGCTGACAGCAGCACACAAAAATTGTACATGTCGTACGGCAGGCCGCTGGCAGCGGCTCGGTGACGTCGCTGTGAATAAACAGGGTATCCCCATGAGGTGGGCCTTATCTACATAATTTATATCATATAACCTCTGACCCTAGTTTGAGCCGCTGCCAGCGGCTCTCCGTCTCGCCAGGGTCTGCTGCAGGTTATTGTGAGCAGTTTGTTTACAGGGATACATTTAAAGATGGCGGCGTCCACATCGACACACGGCGGAATTTCCAGCGATTTATTACGTCCAAGCGTGAAAAAAATCGGTAAATTAAATTCCGTAGCGAAAGAGTTAAATAACCCGGCTGGCGAGTGAAAAGTTATTGGGATACGGCAAAGATAAACGTACAGGAAGAAATAAATCATTACGTTCAGAAAGAAAACCCCATCAATTTGTGTCTGATTTAATCAACTGTTTTAATCAACTGTTTTAAAAGGAAAAATTATTAGATTTGTTTATTAAAAACACTGACAAACTTGCCTCAGAATTAAGCCTGAAAATACGCCATTTTGTATTTGAGGTAAGAAAAACATGCAGGCTAGTTCAGAGTCCATTTCAGTAGCCCGGCTGGCTAGTAAACAAAAAAGTTAAGGTCGAACCCTGTTTATGAAATAGTTTTTTTTGCCTGATATTCCAGCGTTTCAAACTCAACAAATGCGATTCTCCAGTTTCTTTTTAATTCAGAACAGAAAGAGAAAAATGATCATGAAATTCGGGCTTTGCAGTAGAGCCATTTTAATAATGTATAAAAAATGCACCAGTTGGGTTTTGATGAGTGTCTGTATGCATTATATTTACACGCACACGTTATGTCAGGTTTGATGACATCATCAATTAAAATGATATCGGTTTACTTCTTGTGTTCATCATGAAAAGAAAAGAACTTCTGAAAATATTGAAATAATAATGTTTTGTGTATGAAACATCTAACTTCCGGTTTGAAGACGCAGTATCCCGGTATTAAAAAAAATAAATGCAAAAACACTGTAAAATACAGAGGTGGTATTTTCGAAATCTTCAGGCAGTGCAGAAAAGATATTTCTCTCAAACTATCTGAACCATGACATGTTCGTGAGATTATGAACTTACGCAACGATTGTGGCGGCATGGGAGTTATGTCATGCTTGATGCTTGACGCAAAAGCAATGGACTTTGACCATGACAATGGTGACAAAGTTGTTTACGATCTTTCAATACATGTAGGGGCAATTGTTAATACTTTTCCCGGAAAGGTTTTTTGTTTTTTTCATTTTAAAGTTTCATTCACGTTGCTAACGTTTTGTACTGAACCTTAACAAATAGCAAGGTTCATGCTGCGGCTACACACATCCCCAACCTCATGGGAACGGGACCGGCTTTCATTTAAACTAGTCATGCTCTACGCCAATTCCTGTGTCTTTTCACTTTAATGACATGTCCATGATACATGTATTATTAACTTGCACAATTGTGGCGCCAGTGGAGTTCTGCCGTGATGGATGCTTTGACTCAAAATGACAATGGTGGCTAAGTTGTTTATGCTTACCAGCGGTTACACATGCCCTGTCTCAAAGGAATGGGACCGGCCTTCATTTAAACTAGTCATGCTGTACGACAATTCCAGTGTATTTTCGCTTTAATAAAAAAAGGTACTCATGCTTAACCCTCTGCAAGTTTTTCCTCATAAAAAACTAGACTGATGAAATATCCTTGATTCGCCACAAAATTGCCATCTGCCAATCATAAAGATGAAATTGGTCCTTTAGGACAAAAAAAAAAGTCTCCGGTTTCTGGTATGCGCGCGCGTCGCCGTAGCCATGCGCGTCGGCAAAATGAAAAAAAAAAATTTTCAATGAAAGATGATGTCTCAAACCGCTAAACTCACTGGTTTGACTGGAATTCTGCTGCTGCACAATTTTAACGTGTTTTTAGATTAGGTTATGGTTGAGAATAAGCTTTATGTGACCTCTCTGGACTCCCATATATTTGCACTAAGTTTAGTCGGGCACCATTTGCAGTCATCAGCACACATTTGAAGCAAAAAAATCAGGTAAAAACAACAAAAAAAGCCGCGTCACCGCACCACTTTTTGGGCAAGCTCCATACCAGAAACCGGAGACTTTTTTGGGGGGCCTTAGCCTTTTATATTTGCCATTCCCTGTATCAGACAAAATAACACTGCAAATACAACTAGAGCTACATCGTTTGTTGAGTTAGAACTATTTTATTGGTCAGTTAAGTTGTGAATATTTTTAAGAACAGAAACTCATCCATTTTCAGTGGAACCATTTGTTTTCACATGAACAAAAAAGCATCCTTTCAAGTCCAGACATGATAAACATTCATCATACCAGAGTTGTAACGAGTCACTGATTTTTTTTACTGGAGTCGAGTCGAGTCATTAAGTCAAGAAAGTCGAGTCAAGTCTAGTCACAGTGCGTAGTCCAGTCGAGTCAAGTATTTAGCTCGAGTCAATTCGAGTCACAAATATTTGAACACCATAAAATTAAAAAAAAACAAGACAGAAAGTCACTTTTTTTGGCAATTTTAATTTTACATTCGGGCTACTACATGTGTTGATACCACATTTGACTTTTAATGAGAATAAAAAGGGGGTGCCAGCTGATCGCCATTCAACTAAGGGGGACACTGATCAATCCACAAAGGTATATGTATGCATGATTTGTGAACATTCTAACCTGACGTGAACAAAAAAACGGCACCAGCATAAGTCATTGCAAATATTTTTTGCAAAGTTTTACTTTTATTTTTGGGACTTAAGTCTCATTAGCCTTCCTCGAGTCGAGTCATTCTGATGAGGGACTCGAGTCATTTGCTCGCAGTGACTCAAGTCAAGTCGAGTCATTTGCCCTGAGGGACTCGAGTCGGACTCGAGTCGAGTCATGGACTCAAGTCATTACAACTCTGCGTCAAACAGTGAAAATAACTTTGAAAATATGGAAATTGTAATGAATATTTAAGTGTATGTGTGCTAATAACACTTAACTTCCGGTTCCGATTTGAATTTAAAGGAAAGAAAACTGATCATGTACAAATTCTCCCTACAATAACTTCCGGTCAGATGACGTAATGATTCTGAAACCTCACAGTCCTTTGAGATTGTACAAAGAATATTTAGGGGTAATGTGATAAGTATACTTTTTAAATTCAAATTTCCTCTAGATCTTTGATGTCCTTTTAAAAATGACGTCATCATGCCAATTTTTGTGATTGACATTCCTCACTGATTATTTATCAGCGCAGCGTTTACAAAAAGAGCATATTTGGAGTCGTCAACAGCGTATTTTTTGGGAAGCACGTACTTTTCCGCGTATATACCTATTGTTTTGGTTTTAGACCAGTTCTAGGAGGGTTTATACAAATGAGTAGGAGTCCTTTGCAGTGGCGTCGCCAAGGGGGGGCCAGGGGGAGCACGTGCCCCCCCTGGAAAACCTAGTGCCCCCCCGAGTGCCCCCCCATCAAATGCTGGTGCCCCCTATATCCTCTGCAAAATTCTGCGCGTTGTTAAAATCATTACCTCAAAAATAGCAATTTCTGGAGATATCTTCAGATCGAATTTAGCATCAAATGTGGCACCATTTTGCATCTAGCCCATCCTCCGTATGCGAAAATTAGACCCCTCCCCCAGGACGGCGATCCGTATCCACCTAAGTGCCCCCCCCCCCCATCATATGCTGGTGCCCCCCCCCCCCCTGTGCCCCCCCAGACTGAAAAGTCTGGTGACGCCACTGGTCCTTTGCACATTGTACACACTAAAACACCGCAGACATGAGTTAAAAATATTCGGGGGGGGGGGGGTGCGCACTATAGCAAACAAAAGAAGACAAAGACTTGCGAATGAATTTCAAATCTTTCTAGATACCATGTTTCTACCAAAATGAAAGAAAGAATACAAAAAAAACTAAAAACTAACAGGAAACCATGACAAACGAAAAATACAAAGCCAAAAAAAAAAAAAAAAAAAAATTACTTTACTAAGAACAAGCACTGGGAATCCACGTCTTCAAACTCAAGTGGCTGGCAGTTCAGTGTCAAAATTACCAAATAAAAAAGGAAATATCCAAAGTGAACTTTACAAAATGCAAATTACTATACAGTCGACTCTCGTTAGTACAAACTCTGTTTTAAAGGGAAAATACAACATTTGCAAACATCAAAAAATAAAACTACCAAATCATTTTGAAATACCTTGCTGAACTGTTAGTGAATGACAGTGTAAAGCATCCTGTAAAATCATGGCACCTGGTATACCGTCATTTTCAAGAAAGGTGGTATTTTTGTATCAATTTCCAACGCTGGTCAGCCGATCAGCGTTGGAAAAAACTGGCTTTTTTCCCGAATACTGGCCCCAATTGACCATCGCACTTGTTTGCAATCGATTACACACCTATGAACGGGTACAAGCCAGCTAGACTTGTTCCCTGACCTTACAATTCCCCAATGTATGTAAACTGCTCTGTTTCTTCTTATATGGAGTCAGGGAACCAGACTACAGGAAAGTGATTGTTTTTCTTGGGTTTTATAGCATTTTTGAACCCAAAACCTCAAAAAAGTCAGTGTAACTATATTTGTTATATATTTCCAACCCCCCAATTCCATCCATTTCTGAAAATTACAGCAAAAGCAAATGATGTATATTCCCTTTAACACAAAATTCTTGTTATAACAAACATAAAGCCTTGGTCTCGCCTGTGCATTTATGTGCACAATGAATGGGACTGATGTTCCTCTTAATACAAAATTCTGATATAACAAACAATTTGGCTAGGTCTGAACGAGTTTGTTATAACGAGACTCGACTGTACTAAGAACTAGCACTGGGAATCCATGTCTTCAAAATCAAGTGGCTGGCAGTTCAGTGTCAAAATTACCAAGAAAAACCCCTAAAATATCCAAAGTGAACTTTAGAAAATGCAAATTACTATACTAAGAACAAGCACTGGGAATCCATGTCTTCAAACTCAAGTGGCTGGCAGTTCAGTGTAAAAATTACCAAGTAAAAAAAGAAATATCCAAAGTGAACTTTAGAAAATGCAAATTACTGTACTAAGAACAAGCACTGGGAATCCATGTCTTCAAACTCAAGTGGCTGGCAGTTCAGTGTCAAAATTACCAAGAAAAAAACCCAAAATATCCAAAGTGAACTTTAGAAAATGCAAATTACTGTACTAAGAACAAGCACTGGGAATCCATGTCTTCAAACTCAAGTGGCTGGCAGTTCAGTGTCAAAATTACCAAGAAAAAAACCAAAATATCCAAAGTGAACTTTAGAAAATGCAAATTACTATACTAAGAACAAGCACTGGGAATCCATGACTTGAAACTCAAGTGGCTGGTAGTTCAGTGTCACTGTTATTGTTTACAGTGAGTATGCCGACAGGCATTCTGTGCAGGTGATGACGATTCTGCTGAGTTTTCTGGTGATGCTGTGTTCCTGGCAGGAGAACCGTTGACACTCACTGCAGATGCGTTTCGTCTGCCTCCTCTTGCCAGGGACACAGAATGCGCACCTCCCGTGGGGCGGTCTCGCTCGTGGTGCTGCGGGAGCGATGTGATGGGGAGGGAGGTTGTATCCAAGCAACTGCATGGCGTGCAGGACACATTGCCGCAGTCGCGGCCATCACTTGCGGTTCCACCAAAGACCTGATGAGTGCTTCCATGAAGGTGTGGCGAGATGCTGCCTCACGACTGAGGTTGGGGTTGAGATGATGGTAGATGACGTGACTGTTGATCACGGCGCAGTTGAGCAGGTGATAGAGTACCACCAAGGGCCAGCGTTTGGTGATGCGGGCACAGTTGTACAGCGAACACATCTGGTCGACTGTGTCCACGCCAGCCTTGGTGACATTGTAGTAATGGATCATCTCAGGTTTTCCAGAGGTGGGATTGGTTGCCTCATCATGATGCATGCTCGACATGAGAAAAACGTTCTTGTTAGGTTTTGGAATGTAGGAAACCAGCGTTGTCTCCCGGGAAAAGACAAACACTGATCCTCTCTTCAGCGCTCCTTCGACGTTGGTATGTTGCAAAATCGTCTGCATCATGGCCACCGGGAAGAAGAGCTTGAAGATTTCCAAGGGTGTCGTTGCTCCGCCCAGATTTGTGGGGCCCTTATTTTGCATGAGGATATTTGGTCTTGTTGCCCTTGCAGTTGGCGGTGGGTCAGTGGAACAAATTGTTCCGTCAGGTGCGGTCATTCGTGTCGGCTGGGCGGGGGCGGCTGGCTTTGCCGGGGCGGCTGGCTGTGCCGGGACGGCTGGCTGAGCTGGGCGGCCCCGTTGCCGACGGCCACGCGCAGTTTGCTTTCCCCTCCCCTTTGGCGGAACATTCTCTGGCCTTCTCTTCCTAGGTGGGGATGCCACATCACTGTCGCTATCAGCGTCACTCTCGGTGTCGTTGCTGTCCTCTGTTTCTGAACTTTCTGAGGCACTTGAACTTGAATCTTCCGAACCGCTTTCTTCTGAAGATGTTTTCTCCGAATCATCAGAATCATCTTGGAATATTCCTTGCAGAATATGAGCGCTGGATACCTTACTTGTCGAAGCCATGGTGATTGAATGGACCAGCAAGGAAATCTGCTTGCTGTTTTGGTCACTGCTGCCAATCAGAACAATGACCACACCAAACACTTCCAAACAAACCTCTGGTAACCTAGCAACCAGTCTTGACTCCTGGACAAGATAAACTTTCCACTGACACTTTTCTGAGAAGGCAGTAAACAAGTGTACGAAAAAAGCTTCTCAGTAAACAGTTACCTATTCTACAGAAGAAAAAAACATGAAACAGCTGCCAAGAAGAGACAGCTGCAAACGACAACTTTCTGTGTTAAGCCAAAAAAAAAAAAAAAGTCGGTCTCTGGTCAGCGCGCGCGTCGATTTTAATCATGCGCGTCGATCTTTTTTTTTCCAAAATGTTCCGCGGTAGCTCCAACAGCGCCCTCTATTTCCGCACCTCCTCAATTTTTTTTACCAAAGAGCACCAAGGAATGGGAAATTGCACCAAGGCAAATGATCGAAAGCACCAAGGCAAATTATGGAGGACACCAATATACATGAGGACATCAAAAAAGCAAAATAGTACCCACCTTGTCTGTACAATCCAAGCTTGAAGAAAAAAAAAAAAAAAAAAAAAAGCCGCGTGACCGCGTCAATTCCGGAACTTTGGTCTGACCAGAGACCGAATATTTTTTTTTTGGCCTTACAACCCCTAGTAAATTGTCTTCAGTAGCAGCTGGAGTCAATGCCCCGACATCCTCTTTCAACACTGTCACCACCATCAGAGTCCATGTGCCAATGAGACAAACCCGCCAAAACCTCAACCGCAAGACCCTATTCATAGCAATACAACAAAGAACCACGTGCCACACAGTTGCCACACAGTTGCCAGACAGTTGCCAGACAGTTGCCAGGCAGTTGCCAGGCAGTTATGCTGGAAAGATAATTGACTGGGGGTGGGGGTGGTTTGGTCTATGAAGAGAGATTGCTGTGTCAAGTTACAGGTGTTTGTATGTGTTTCAATGGGACTTGGCAGGAGCCCAGGTCGAAAGTTTGTTGACACAGCTTGGATGTAGCCCTGGCTGCTAAGTTCACTAAACCAGCTGATTTGGCAAGGGTTGAATGCTTTTATTTTAGGGACTCGAGTCTTATTAGCCTTCGTTCGAGTCGAGTCAAGTCTTCTGATGAAGGACTCGAGTGGAGTCGAGTCATTTGCTCGCAGTGACTCGAGTCGAGTAGAGTCATTTACCCTTAGGGACTCGAGTCGTGTCGAGTCACCAAAAATTGTGAATTGAGTCAGACTCGAGTCGAGTCATTGACTCGAGTCATCACAACTCTGCTGTGAAGGGGTACAAGCCTGCCAGACTGATTATCTGACCTTACATTTCCCCAAGTTTATAACTTTCTCTGTTTCATCTTAAGTGGGGTCAGGGAACCAGACTGCAAGAACAGGATTGGTTTTCTTGTTTTTTCCAGCATGTACAAGCCCAAAACGTGAAACAAGTCAGTTATTTACTATAACATACTAATCCTCCAAATCCATTTATTTCTGAAAATTGCAGCAAAAGCAAATGTTGTACATTTCCTTTGACGTGGAATTCACTTGTGTTCTTATTTTTCAATACCTCAGGGGCCTGGATATTCCCCATGTTGATATTGTCGTCAACTTTGACATCCCTACACACTCAAAGGTGAGAGCAAAGTCACTTGACTGAAACTTTGCTGACAATTCTTTTCTTTTTGAGGGTTGCATTTTTTATTTTATTATCACCCTTAACATGCTGTTCAGCCCAGATTGCTGTCTCCTTCATGTACTGTGACTGTAAAAAGTGTTAAAAATCTGGCGAACGAAAACAGTTTATAAATTTTCTGAAAATAACAAAACCCTCATAATGAAATCTGGAAAGAGTGCTGAATCGTGATGCCACTTTTTTTCATCATATGTTATCGCAATGAAGTCAATCATTGCAAACATGTTGGAAAAAATGCATGAATCTGGGACTGAGAAACCTTCCCAATTTTGTTGGAAAATACTTTAAAAATGCACTCAACTCTCCACAGACTTTGTACACAACCAAAGCAGGGGCGTCTGTACAATACATTCTTTGCAAAATCTGGACTGACCATTTTTACTGCGATTCCTAAAACGCATCCTTACTTTTGCGCGACTTAGGCCAAAAAAAAAAATAGTCGGTCTCTGGTTGAACCGAAGTTCCGGAATTGATGCCGCGACGCGTTTTTTTGTTGTTTTTTTTGGTGGCTTTTTTTTTTTCAAGCTTGTATTTTACAGACAAGGTGGGTACTATTTTGCTTTTTTTGTGTCCTCATTTTACATTGGTGTCCTCCATAATTTGCCTTGGTGCCCTTTATCATTTACCTTGGTGCAATTTCCCCATTCCTTGGTGCTCCTTGGTACAAAAATTTGAGGAGGCGCGGCAATAGAGGGCGCTGTTGTAACTTCCGTGTTAATTTGAAGAAAAAAAAAGGTTGACGTGCATGATTAAAATCGACGCGCGCGCTGACCAGAGACCGAGTATTTTTTTTTTTTGGCCTTATCTTTATATCATGTTGTACTTGTATAATTATTTTAATGACCTTGTACCATAGAGCAATATGAAATTACTAGAGCGCTAACTCCTCATTCTAGCGCATGGAGAGTGGAGACTCTTTGAAGCCGTCCTGGGCGCAGACATTTTGAATTCATGTGCGTGTTTGTAGAACACAATGAAATAAGATGGATTGAAATTTAAAGGTGTACTCTAAATGCAACGCGCAAGTAGTGGAACGTACGCAATAATTTAAGCGCGTCATTATGGTTTTAAAAAATGTCATGGTCATGACGGTTAATCATCTGCAGCGGATACGCACACGCGTTGCGCTGTTTGCGTAAGCAAAATGACACGCTCATTTTGCTGATCGTGCGTTTCCGTTTTGGGCGTATCAGCTTTGATAACGCACCTGTATAGAATACAAACACAGATATGCAAATAGCCGTACAAAAGCCATACAAAATTTTGAGTTTTGTGCACAAACATGTTGCGCCCAGCAGGCATCACTTTGTACATCAAGTCAGTGCTCTAGTAATTTAATATAGCTCAATGCCTTGTCCCCAACATTTTTTTCTCTTCTTTTGATCATTATTATTGAACAGGATTACATCCACAGGGTTGGGCGGACGGCCAGAGCGGGCCGGGCAGGAAAATCAATCACGTTTGTCACACAGTAAGTGAGCACAATTATGTCCAAACTACTTCAAGACATAGTCCATCATTTGTAATTTGTGCATTTTGTTCGTTTGAAGCAACAAAAGTGCTCAAAATCTAATGAAGGATACTGAACAACTAACCTGATGAAGTTTCAGCTCAGCTTCAGCTGTGTATTCCGAGAAAAACAGCATTCTAGGATCTCAATTTCAAATCAAAAGTTGCTGAATCATGTTTTGAATTGTTTTGAATTGCAGCTTTACGCGATGTCGCGCACTGATCTGACGAATTATAGCAACCGCGCGTGCCTGTGCTTCGTGCCAATGCGTGCGCGCGCTGCGCCGAATAACAAAATGAACTTCTAATTTAACTTTTCCTACTGTGCGTCTTAAGACGCACCGCTGGAAAGGCCTTCTTTCGTTGATTTCTTCAAAATGAGAGCTTGCCAGAAAGAATAATTTCACAGGGAGTTTAATCACTATCTTTCAACCAAGTATGTTTTTCAACAATAGTTACGCCAGTTACTTTTTTGGATAGCTGCAAATGATGGACTCCGGCTTTAATTGTATTCAAGCTTTAGATTGTTGTCAAGTGACATTAATGATTTGGGCAATTCCACGGTTACTCACGTTACAATTTTGTAACGTGAGTAACTGATTTTGTGCGTCTTGTTTATCATACATAACACATTTTTCTGGATGTCATCTTTGGTGCTTAGGTAGGTCTAGGTCTACTCTATCTACCATGGGGATAACAGTTATTAAACCTTTTCAGTAAGGTAATTACAGCCCAAGGAAACTCAAAAGTCCATCAAAAACGTAACGTGAGTAACCGTGGAATTGCCCATTTGCTGTTTTTATGGGGAAATTTTGTTCAATGCACCTCTCGCAAGGAGGAGTGTTTAAAACTTACCTTACCTCTGCTTGCAGTGTACATGCAGAATACTATTGAATTTGTCATGATTAGGAAACCAAACCGAACCGAACCCCGGAAGATCAGTTTCGGGCACTAGTACGCGTTGAATCTTCACTCCCGTTAGCCTCATGTTTTTCCCCACGCCAGGTATGATGTGGAGTTGTACCAGCGCATTGAGCAGCTGATTGACAAGAAACTGCCGTTATTCCCCACCGAGGAACAGGAAGTGATGCTGCTCATGGAGCGGGTGACAGAAGCTCAACGCTTTGCTAAACTGGTCAGTATAAAACTATTGCATGCTTTGAGGGTGAATAGTCGATATTACACAACACCTGAATAAATCCCGTCATCTGATTGGTGGATCGTTGATCAAATGTCGATGAATTATGCGTCCCAGCGCACGGCGTGTAGCGCACAGTGCAATGGTAGTTCTATTGCACGGTGAATAGAACTTCCATTGCACGGTGTCACTGCTGCTAGTGGTGGCCCTGTTTTGAATCGAGATAAATTGAATATGATGGTTCTCAACCTGTTGAACAGTTTGCATGAATTAAATATGATGAACTTGTCGAACTTTTAAACAGTTTTTAACCTGAATAAAATTGGTTATTAAAAGTCAACCAATCAGTTGACAAGGATTTATTCAGGTGTTATATAAAACAAATTATGAATGTTCCACGTTCGTGCAATGGAAAGGATAATTTCATTCGCCTCGTGGAATGGAACATTTCATCTGTCACCTCACGAAATTATTCTTACCATTGCACTCACAAACATTCATTATTTGTATATTATTATCTGATCAGTAACTATTGCATGCTTTGAGGGTGGATAGTTGATATTATCTGGATTTCAATTCCCAACCGCAGCCCTTTTTACAACATGAAGGATTTCACACAGCTTACTTAACACAGTACTGAAATTGAATAGACAAGGAACTTGGTCACAGTGTCCAAAATGTTGTCGTGATCGATTGACAATTGTTCAGTGATGCTTGACTAAAATTAAATGAAACTCATAGGGGTTGAGACCAAGGCTTAGGAGTATCTGCATAACCAACATTTTTCAAATTTGACCTCATGGTTTTGTAGTTATTAAAGGGAATGTACATCATTGGCTTTTGCTCTAATTTTCAGAAATGAACTATTTGAGGGGTTAGTATAATAGATCAAATATTGTTACACTGACATTTTTGAAGTTTTGTGTTCGAAAAGGTTGGAAAAACCAAGGAAAAACAAAAATGTTCAAGTAGTCTGGTTCCCTGACTCCACAAAAGATAAAATGGATCAATTTATAGCTGATGGAAAATTGTAAGGCAAGGGAACCAGTCTAGCTGGCCTGCACCCGTTCATGAACGTGTAACCAATAGCAAACAAACTTTGGACTGAAAAAATGGTAAATTTGGAGCAATAGTTGAAAAATAGTTGGGTTTTTCCAACGCTGGTCGGCCGACCACCGTTGGAAATGTATACAAAAATACCATTTTCTTGAAAATGACTTCACACCAGGTGCCATAATTTTACAGGATGCTTGAGACTGTCATTTACCAACATTCTAGTAAGGTATTTCGTAAAAACTTGGTAGTTTTATTTTTCGATGTTTCCATATTTTGTTTATTCCCTTTAAAAAGTAGTCAGATGGACACCTTTTTTGGGACATACTGTCGTGTGGAAAGGCCTCATGACCTCCTTAGTTTCTTAGCACTCCAAACTGCTCGAGCACGCTGAGGTTATTATGGTTTCCTCATGGATTGAATACAATGTGTTGTGCCCTTGAGTAAGGCGCTTTACCTCCATTACTCCTCTCAACCCAGGTGTTAAATGGGTACCGGCATTATTCAATGCTGGGAAGGTAACAGACTCGCTGTGGAGGAGGTGTGGCGATCCCCCCACAACAGCATATGAGTCTGGCCCAATCATGGGCGTCGCCAGGATTTTTTTCCGGGGGGGGGGGGGGGGGCAAAAGAAATTTTCCCCCCAAAATCCTTAATCTTTTCATTATATTCTCAATTTATCATTTTTCCGAGCGTGAGCAGAGGAGCATTTGCCCTACCCCCCCCCCCATCAAATTAACAGCAATATAGCTTCGCACAGTCTTTTTCCTTCTTTTTTTTCCCCCCGTTTTCTGGGGGAGGGAGGGGGGGGGATGGGCAAGTGCCCCCCTTGCCCCCCCCCCCTTGCAATGCCCATGGGCCCAATCGCTAAAGAAAGAGAGATGGGCACTCCGTTCCTGTTAACACAGGTTCGTCCACTTTGCCTTTTTTGGCCATGTGATATTGGGTTAACTTGTCCTCCTTTTCTTTTTTTGGCTCTAGGAAATGAGAGACTACGATGACAAGAAGAAAGGGCGTGGCCGGGGCGGGGAGGATGACTCGGAGGATGCGGTAGGCATCCGCAAGAAGCTGAAGATGTCTCACAAAGGAAACAAGAGATAGCGATAATGGAATCGTGTGTACCATCACTAGGAGGGACAAATGTTTATGCTGATGTTGGGGACGGGTTACAAAGTCAGTAGACAGGCTTAATATACACATGGGTATAATAACGTTTTATATGAAAAGTCACGTTTACAAAAAGATAGCTTCTGCAAGAAGCTTTTGCTTCATGCAAGAAGCAAAAGTATTAACAGCAACATGTGTGTCATCACCAGGAGGAACAAATGCCCAGTGTCATAGTCAAGTACTTCTCAAATTCCAACAAGGATAGTTTAAGGTAATATACAACAGCTTTTGCTGTAATTTTCAGAAATGGATGGATTGGGGGGGGGGGGTAGTATTTTATAGCAATATTGTTACACTGACCTGTTTGATGTTTTGGGTTCATAGATGCTGGAAAAACCAAGAAAAGTAATCATGTTCTTGTAGTCTGGTTTCCTGACCCCACTTAAGATGAAACCAGTCCTTCTGTTTCGAGGCGTGTGATCGCACCCCCACGCCATCACACGCCTAAATGCTTCCTGAGAAGTGCCAATAATCGCACGCCTGAATCCCTCAGTACCGCACACCTTGGCATACATTTACGGCATAATTATACTTCATAATTTGTGAAAAATAAAGTACGTCGGTGAAGAGAAAACGGCTGTATTGTAAATCAATATGAATATTATGAAAAAAAAATACCAGATTGTTCAGTCCCAGCTTGGACCACAGAATCACACACCTAGAAAAATCACACGCCTAGAAAAATCACACGCCTAGAAAAATCACACACCTAGAAAAATCCAGGTGTGCGTTTTTCCACACACCTGTGATTTTCAAATCAGAAGGACTGATGAAACAGCAATTTATAAACGTCGGGGAATTGTAAGGTCAGGGAATCAGTCTAGCCGGCTTGCACCTGTTCACAGGTGTGTAACCGATTGCAAAGAAAATGCAGACTGATTACAGTATGATAAATTTGGAGCAGTGTTTGAAAAGAGTGAAATTGAAAATGTCAGCACACCAGGTGCCATGGTTTTACAGGATGTTTGAGACTGTCATGAACATGTTTGCATACATTGTATATTCCCTTTAATACAGACTCAGCAACAATATCCTGGTTATAGTGAACGTAAAGCCCTAATCCTGAATGTGCATTTCTGTTCAAAATGAATGGGACCAGTGTAGCGTGAATATCCGACTCCATGAAATATGGACTCATTGGTAGTATTGCGCATGCGTAAGTACGATAATATGCTATTTTTAGGATCGTATATGGGAGAGTGACCTGTCACGTGTAAGGGATTAACCAATAATAGGGAAAAAGAGTCCGATTTTCATAGGAGTCGGATTTTCATATGACACCGCCATTCCTCTCAGCCCTAGTATCTGAGGGTTTGTAGCAAGAAAGGGTCAGAAGTTCAGTTTGTTTATCTCAGAACCTGAAAGTTGTGCATTATGCATGAAGTGGGGGATCATTTGGCGGTGGAATTTAACACTACTTTTGAGGGTGATTAACTTTGGATACAAAAAAGCCAACAGATAATTGAACATAAAGTGAAAGGGTATAAGCTTCTTCTTTTTCTTGATTTTTTTTTTTAAATTGAGGGTTGGTCAGCACAAGTGAAACCTCCAGCAATAAGGATGCAAACCCGTCAATAAATTGCCATTAGACATTTGGAACCATGAAGAAATTCAGACAATCCTGGCCAAATCTCGCTGGGCCCCAACCCCGGCCCCGGCCCCGGCCCCGGCCCCCGATCAATGTTGTCTCTCATTGCGTAGCCTTGACCAAGGCGTTGGGCTTATCGATTCGCCGATTTAAAAAAAAATCGCCGATAAGAAAATCCCTAATCAACTTGGCAAGGCATAATTGCGTGCACATATCGATGCCCGTACGCTGCTAGTGAGAAAGTAACTTGTGCCATATACAGCAAGGTTCTATGCTTGTACGTACGCACGTACACCCACCCAGCCGCGTTGATTGTGGGTGCAGGGCCCGATTATTTCCCTTCGACAAAAAGCCGAGAGACCGCATTGAACAAGGCTACTCATTGCGCGGTGTGTGCTCCATCAGCTGGAGAGAACAGCATTGAGCGGGGGGGTGGATGACATGATCAATGCATACACGATTCACCATGATGGTTCACCATGTTATTTTGGCCGATATTTTTTACAAAATACAGATTGTGTTCAATGTTAAGCAGTATTAGGATGCACAAACAACGTGTTATCTTCTTCAATTTGTTTTATACCCGTCTGTCCGTTATTTGGACGAAAAATCTATTCAAACCATAGTGCAACCACGGTTCACCGCTGTATATAAGAAGGAGAGTCATTTACTTCCTTTATATATTGGTTTGAATGGATCACTGATGGATTTTTTTCCGGCAAAATGACAGAATTAGTGAATACAAACAAATTAAAAAGGATTGTATTTTGTTTGTCTTTCCTATAAGAGCCTTTTAAGTTTAACACAAACTGTTTTGTGTACAGATATTGGCCAAAATGGCATGAACCGTTACGATGCACGCTACAATACAGTTGGGATTTTAAGGATTGTAACATGGCCTCTTAATTTTTGTCGCCGGTACTTTCGGTGGTCTATTGGTTAAGACATGTGCTCAATTCAACAAAGCAGGGATCATGAAGGGATCAAATCTCACCGGAGATAAATACATGTGGATTGTTTCCCTGCAGCACTCGGGAAGTAAAAAGTATACCCTGCTTACCACCCCTACGTGTTAGGGAAAGCACGGCAAATATATATGTATTTATTTCGATTTTACTATCAATAATTATTATCTTGCCTAAATAATGTGTTCTTTCATTCAACCTTCGGCCACCATTTCATATTTTGGAAACAAAACTCAAGAAAACAGCCCCCCAAACGGCATATCATCCACATATGGAACCATGAAGAAATTCAGACATGACTGTGTAGAAATACATGCACGTACACATGCACGATATGTACACGATACATTATTCCATCATCGTCTACTTCTGTTCTTGTTGGGTGTAGGCCGTATGAGTAAAGATGCATGGGGTCCGCTCAATAGTCCGAATTAAGGTTCATCTATACCCAGCACGATATGTGACAGATAGGTACCCTCCCCCCCCCCCCCCCCCCCCATAGTATGTGACAGCCCGATAGTCCGAAGGTTCGATAATCCGAAGAGACGACAGGGTTCGATAGTCCGATTCAACAGTAAGGTTCGATAGTGACAATAAGGTTCGATAGTCCGAATGGACAATAAGGTTCGATAGTCCGAACTGACAATAGGACCTTATTGTCGATTCAGACTATCGGACCTAACTGGCAATTCGGACTATCAGACCTAGCTTTTTGTCGATTCGGACTATCGGACCTTATTTTCTATTCGGAATAATGAACCTTCGGACTAGTGAGCCTTATTTTCGTTTCGGACTCACCTTCGGACTAATTAACCTTCTTCTAAATTCGGACTAATGAACCTTCGGATCAATGAACCTTCGGACTATTACTTCAAATGTTCGGATTAACGAGCCTTGTTTCATTTTCGGACTAACGAACCCCCTCTTATGGGAATTTTGTGCCTTCGGATTAAAGAACCTTCGGACTATCGGGCGGACACCTCTCCTTGTGATTGTTACCTAGCACACACCCCCATATATTTCTAAAGAATTCCTGAGATACTGGTAACACAATGACCAACACGAAAAGGGGCGTCCTTCTGTCACATATCGTGCTACATTATGCATTAGTCCGGAGGTTTTATGATCCGAGTTTCGATTAGTCTGAGTATCACCCGTTCTCCACGGAGTGATCTCCGGTATCATGGCCGGCTTCGCCAGGACCAGGGTCTATTACATATAGACTACGCTTCGATAGTCTGAACACGCAAAATTCAATAGCCCCCCGAAAAAAAGGAAATAAAGTTCGTTAATCCCAGCATTTGATGCGATAGGTTCAATACTCTGAAATGAAAACAAGGTAGTCCGAAAGGTTCATATTAATCCTGAAGCACACTGGGTTCAATAGTCCGAAATGACAATAATATTCGATGCTGTTAATTCGCACTGTTGAATTTTACTGTCGATTTGGACTATCTAACCTTGGAATTTATTTTAATCTTACTGTACTTTTGAACTTATGAACACTTGGGGCTATCGAACCTTCCGACTAAACGAACCTTCGGTGTAAACGAACCTTCGGATTAATGAGCCTTCGCGGACAACCGAAATTTCACACTTATAAACCTTCGGACCTTACTTTCGGACTATCGAGCGGTAAAACGATGCATATGGCCTGCAGCCCTACCCATCGTATGCAGCATGGAGGTACATGTAGCAGTAATAGGCATTAAACAATTTCCTGGCAAACTTAGACGATATAAACGAAATAGTCTCACAGAATTCGAACTTTCCCGCATCTTTGCGAAACCCTCGTCTTTGTCTCCATCTCAAGATTCATGATCAGTGGCGGATCGAGGAAGGGATGGATGGGGTGTTGAACTCCAAGTTTTTCAAGTTGGGGTGGATGAAGCATTGCGGTCAACACGTATTGCCTGCAATCGGAGACCCCCTATTGTTCCTCTTTTGTTTGTACTTAAACTTTTTAGGAAGACCTCCCATTACGATCGCCAAATTGAGGACCTTTGGGAATTGGGGACCCTATTGTACTCTATAGTTCAACGTCCCCTACTGAATGCAGAAACACAACTCTCAAGGAGCAAAGACCAGAAGCAATGACTGAATTAGATTTGCAATATTAAGCGATGACGTCCAGGCAATTTCATGAAATTTGGGACATTTTGTCCATTATGCGTAATAATTTATGGGGGGGGGTAGAAGACAGTCCACCCACCCCTTGGGTCCACCCGTGATGAGAATCTTGAACGTTTGAACCCAATGAAAATACACCAACAATTGGTCTTTGCTTAAGATTCTACTGTATATAGCCTACCAGAATGGACCAATATTGTTCTGGACTCGGTCAAGTCGGGGGACTAAAAAATCCTGAAGCTGGGGGACCTTCTTATGCCGAAGAAAGAGACATGGCCAAGAATTCGTAACCTCAATAGCTCTCTCAAAATGTTGTCCGTCCCACAAAGGAAGGGGTATGTGCATCAGCGTGCGTCGAACATGCACCGTTCGCATGCGTGTACACGGCTGTCCAACAAGTGGTCAATGACGTCATATGTACGTCCTCTATAGATAAGAAGGCCTCACAAACCTACAAAAAAATGCTGGTTGTTGGCACATATTTAAATATTTTCAAACACCCTGGACTTCAGGGACTGGGGAACCCAGAGCCCCTATGCAGGAGAGTCCTATTATTAGAATTCGGTAAACGGAATTCATTATAGTGCCGCCAAACCTCAGATGTTGTTGATGAGCATCAAATTCGCCAAGTTGAATCTTGGAACGTATGTTTACTTAAGTAAGAGTTGCTTGGGATCAAATTATTAAAAACACAAACATTCGCGTCTTAACCTTCTGTGACCGAAAAGCATATTCAAAAACAGAAACCAAAATGCAATCTTTTTAAAAACCCATTCAACTTGTATTCTTTATAACGGCTGTCAATCAAAACAAACGCACATTACCAACTATTGAAATAAACAACACAATACTTATATACCCTAATGCTTTAAGAATTATTCAAACATCACAAATC